AAATAACAGAATAAGAGCGTTTTTTCGAATGTTCAGCTATTGAAATGTTTAATCGAACTATTCAAAAAAATCACTCGAACATAAATACTCGATCTAAATCATATTCGATGTTTCATTAATATTCGCACGAACAAATATTTGATGATTCCAGTATCTCAATTCCGAAGTATTTGAACTCAAATATTCTTCGTCACTCTTTCAAAATATTTGAGTTCGCTTATTCGAATGCATCTTTGTGAAACTATCCGAAAAATCGAATGAATCTTTATCAGAAAATTTGTGTTATTCGAAATGTTTGAATATTTTATTCGCACCGAATTTCGTCTCAGCTATATCGTAAAAGCAGTAAAAGGAGATGTTTGTCATCCTTCAACTTACTTGGTGATGAGACTCTCATTGCATCGAACTGAGCATTCGTAATTAAAGCTTTTAGCTCTGCGCCAGTCCAGCCATCCGTTCGTTCAACCCAATGTGTGATAGACAGATTGGGATCATGATTCACTGACATCAGTACGGTGTTTAAAATATCATGTCGATCTTCCTAAAATAAGATTCCTTTATCTTCACCGTGCGAAGTTATAATACTGTCTTGGGCACTACTGAAGTACTCAAATAGAAAATGATTGAGGTATAACATTAAAATTGCTACAGCTTTTTGATCATCTCATATCCTCATTGACAAGGAAAAATTGATTTGTCTTCATTTAAGCTGATTGAATATCATGGAAACTTCGTTACGGCAACATACTTTGCCAGGGACACCGCATTCCAGAAGATGATCAAAACGACCAGGTCGAAGTAAAGCTGGATCTATCAAGTCCATCCTATTCGTGCATCCGATTACAAACACACCTGCAGTAATTTAAACATTGTTGGGCAACCTATTTGAGAAAGAAAACGAATGCAAGGGAGATATTTGGTACTACTAATTCAGAATATCGGTGGTATAGCCACAAATGAGAAAGTGAGCGGCATATTTAAATTGCTGCCTAAAAAGTCTCGATCAGCATTCGATTTAGGAGATTCA